ACGAGATAAGCCGCTCAACGCGGAAAACCCTTTGACCCGTTTTGTTATTGCGCGGTGTTCTGTGGCACTGCTGCGGAACGCACCAGCTGTCTCTCCCCACAGCCGGATGCTTGGTGGTAAAAACAGCCGTCAATAGCGAGCGATTGTACCTTGACATCGCGGACACTGCTGCCCTTTCTCAACGCGAGAGAGAGAGAAATTGCAGTGCAGCAGTCTCAAACAAAGCCCGACTCGACACCTCTGCTCACCTTCGGCTCAAAGTATAAAAGGACGTTTCGGTTCGAGCTGCCTCTTTGCCAATCCACTGCGCCACCGTCGGCCGTGGGGGGAGCTTTGCGCAACCGTACTTCACCACGCTGAGCAGGGGGACGGTTGGCGAAGGACCGGTTTGGAGATCGATCAACCACCGAATCGAGTTCGTGTCGCGGGGGTTTGCAGCACAGTGTGCGAACCACCGCACCACCACTCCCAATTTTGAACAGATTTTCACACATGCAGTGGTGGTCCCTTCCCCCCCCTCCCCTCCAGTCGAGCGGCTGAAATTCCACATTCCTGTTACGGGGACCAGTTGCTCTACAGGACAGCCACCGTTGACGATTTACACCGAGCCTGTACTCATCGACATAGGGGAGATGGGATATTTTTTTGTTTTATCCTTATTTGAACGATGCTGTTTTTTTCCTCCAGCAGTCTCACCTCAGTTGCCGTCTGCACAGGAAGAGCCTCGTGCACCCGAGGAATTGCTCCTTGAGTTCAAAGTGGCATGATTGACAATGCTAACAAAACATCAATAGGAGAATTACTGATGACGATGACGAAGGTGCAATCATTCAACCAAGCAATCACTCATTACAGTTTTTTTTTCTTGTCCACTCTTCAGGTCAGGCAATGACCTCTCGAAAAAAAGTGCATTTTGGGAAGCATAAAAAAAAAATGTAAAAGTCTGGAGCATCGCTCATCTTAATGGACGATGATCACGATCGTGCTATCACAGGATCGTGTTTTTATTTTAAAATATTTTTTTTATTCTTCTTCATGGCGCTTGCTCCCGATCGTATCTCACTCCCGGCACGTTGTCTCCTCCAGCTCACAAAGCTTACCTTTCGTTGCATGGAAGGTTACTCGTACTCGCCTTCATGTATGTCCACTGTATGGTAATAATAATGATCTCTATTTTATAAAGCAAGTTTCATCTTGGAATATCTCAAAAAGCTGTACATACAAAATAAAACCACACTGACATATAGATAATCTAAGTTACACAGAAAGCTGATAATAACAATATCAATGAATACTCCGGAAATTCAAATAAAATGAAGAACTGTGATAACAGCGAACAACAATACGAATTGCAGAGTAATCCAATCAGTCAACAAAATTGTGTTTTTAAATCCTTTATATTAAGTTCACTTGCTTGCTTGCTTAGGACCGTGCAAATCTTTCGGTCGTTTTTTAACCCACTTCCCGTGATCCAATCGAGCTGACATTTTGCACACAGACTCGTTGTGCGTGACAATGCATGTTGGTGAAAAAAAATTCCAAAATTTTACACTTTTTAGGACAAAAATATTATATTTAATTACCAATTGCTTAATGCTGCCATGCAATCATCTGATCCATAGGTAGCAGCCATCTCAAGCCAGAAGACGAGAGGACTCTAGCCACCACGCATATAAAGGATTTATAGTGAAAAACTTAGTTTTTACGGGTTATACTTGTTTTTAATCTTAAGTTAAAGGGAAAGCCTGCAGTGCAAATAGCTGAGCTTTAAGACGGTGATTTGAAAAGTGACAAAGACTCAGAATCCCTAATAAACCAAGGAGGTGGATTCCACAATCGCGAAGTCCTGGCTGCGGAAGGCTTCGTGTTGAAAATCTTTCGCGCCGCACGTAACCAACCGTGCTATGCGGATATGCGGGGGAGAAGGATGCCAAACTAAAAACACTCCGCATGGGCCGTCTGGAATTCTCTTCCACTTCAACCCCCGTCCATGCAGTTGAGACCCTTGCATTGCGGTTCGAGCCGGGACCTAACAAACTCGTTTGTTTTTCTGCGCATTTGGCTAAAAAGTTTTTTTTTTTTACGCGTTACACTTACGTTTCTACTGTCGTCCCTTTGTTTTGAGCAAATTGTTTGAACGCTTTTAACGCTTCCTGTGTGGCTGCATTTGCAGCGACGACGACGTCGTCGATGTCGTCAGCGTGGACGTCATCATCTTTGACGTCATTGGCGGCTCCTCATTAGTAGGACTGCTATAATCACGCAGCTGGACATCTCGAAGAGAGCCGCACAATTTGCAAGCCGAGTACATATCGAGATTAGCGCTGGATACTGAACAGCCGTTATCGGATGCCATTAGCATGAATGACGCTATATAAAATTAAAGTAGTATCATTATCTTCTCAGCAGTGAGCAGTGCACCACACCGTGACCTGACCAAGAGTTGAGATCGCGTCCTTCCGATTATTATTGCCAGTCGAGCAACCTAAACCACTGAGCCGCCCCTCCAGATGACGAAACGTGCATACTTGTTGTGTGGGTGTCGCTGAAACTCTAGGAATGCTGTAGTGACAAGGGCGTGTGATAAATTAAAGTTATGATGGCGGATAATGGCAATGACGACGACGATGGTACGACATTCTTAATGGCGTCGACTGCATTAAGGGTTCTGGGGCGTGGCGGTGTGATATGGGGATTGCGTAAACCAAAGGCTTGCGCAGTGGTGGTGTGGTGGTGGGGAGCGGTGGCGCAGCGGTTAACGCGCTGCGCTACGAACCCGGCGACCCGAGGTTCAATTCCCACTCGGGGCTAAGACCAGCGACTATTATCTGTACCGGTCCTGGGCCTCCCCTAGCTCGACTCGGCCTTAAAGAGTACCCGGTGCGGTGTGTAAACATCGCCACAGGGGAGACAAAGGCGGCCGGGCGTGGCGCTGGCTGGCCACCCACCCCCTCGTGTGACGTGCCGGCGTTCATGGGTGCAACTCGCTAACAGCCACTTGCCCCCAGCAGTCTGTTGTGTCAAAATATCGAACCGTGTCACCGCCGCCACACGCAACCTGGGTCACATTCGTGGCCACGCAACATGAAAAGGCATCTTGCTGTCCGTAAACAGACACTCCCCGCACGCACACACTTCTATCAATACGGCCGGGTGGCTCAAGGACAGAGCGAACGGCACGCAACTTGGAAGGCCGCCAGTTCACATCCTGGTTGTGGTTATTTGCCTCGGCCCATCATCCCTCCGGGTGTCGATATCAACAGAGCGGTTTGTCCTGTGGATCGATTATCCCCTGCCACAGTAACGTGGAATGTCCACCACTGGCTCGGAGCCGTACATAGGAGATGAGCACTGCCTCTCTACTGGAGATCTGTGAAAAAGAGCTTGATAGTTCATCGGATTCCGCCAGTATAAAGGAATATTCTGACTCTCTTAATTCAGATTTCAACGCTCGTTTAATTTGACCACCGCCTGAAATCTGGGTCACATTACTGGGTCGCGCGTAACAAATGAATACAGGGTAAATGTAAATTGAAACTGTACGCACATCTCTATAAGCTGGTTAGACCACCCTTTGGCAAAGGGGAGATGGGGTCATGATACTAAATAAAGTCCACGAAAATAGCGTCGCCTATTTTGGCTAAACAACGTAATTATCACCGGTCACTTTTTTTTAAATATTTAACTTTCTGACAATATATTGACGAACTAACCGAAGCAATGAATGCTGTTCAACACCAACAGCGGTTGCCCATTGAGAATTGGTGCTTGACTAAACGCTCTACGGATGGAGTAATTGACAGCATGGCTGTTCTACTGCATGTCGTTTTCTCGTAGCGGAGTTAAATATTTTCCGCTCGCTCCTGACAGCGCGCGCGTTCCAGGCGTTTCAGTATGTAAAGCTGCAAATGATTAGAAGGCACGTGGCTGGGCTTAGAGGTTGAGTGACCGGCGGTTGAAAACTTTTCACGTAAATCTCTCTTCGTTCATGGACGTACAGATAAAGCGCAAAAAAACCCCCCGATACAATCACATGTGCAGTTCAATTAAGCAGACATGGGAAACCGACTGTGCGATAATCGTCACATCGCTAAAATTCGTATCGTGCCGTGTAGTGTCGTGATATTTAATCAGGGCGACCGTTATTATTTCTTAGACGTGCATACGAAAATATCTTCAGGAACTGAATGCTAACGCCGAGGTCTGCTCGCCACGAGGGAGCTTCGGGAAAATTTTTTGCGTAGTTTTGCTATTTTTCTTCCATTGAAGGAACGCAAACGACAACGGTTAACTATACGGTCCATACCATTGGAACCTCATTTGCCAGTAAAAATATGATAATTAGTTTTTTTTACCCTTCTATCTGGCAACAAAACTGACACCTTTTTTACAAGGTGTAAATGCTTCCCCCGAGCTCTCATACTCTGATGGTGCATTGTCTTTGAGTTGTGCGCCTTTTGGCGTCATCTGGTCCAACCCATGTGAGACTAGGCTCTAAGGAAAGCTGTCTCTCGGGTGTGGACCAATCAACTTCAAGGACAGTGCACATTATCAGAGTTATGTTTATGTTTGCATTATGACTGCATGTATTGTGGTCTATGTAAACATGACTCCTTGTAAAAAAGGTGTCAGTTTTGTTGCCAGATAGAAGGGTAAAAAAAACAATTATCATTAACGGTCCATAGTTTGGAGTTGCATGGCCACAATCGCACCACTGCGGCATGTCTTCAATGTAACTCTGCGAGTCTCTGTACCTCCACGGGTTTCTGTGCATCTCCCGAGTCTCTGTGGGTTCACCGCGTGGTCCTCAGTGTGGGTTGAATGGCCGCGATCACACTTCTGTGGCTTGTGTCCTTTTTTGATTTCCCATTCGCGAGGGAGACACGCACGCCGGAGTGTCGGGCGTTCCGATGCAACGGACGGTTTTTCATCGAGGCGGTCGAGATATCGCGGCCATCCCAACCGGGTCAACTGAGCCAATCATTAAAAAAAAAAGGTACCTTGTGTGTTGCGTTGACACCAGCAATGTTGTTGTTGTGGAAGGTGACAGCCCCACCACCAGCACCACCACTGCCACCACCACCGCCAACAGCAGCAGGACCGGCCTTGACAGGTGCTCTCTGAACCACCGCACACATTCACCAACACAGCAACAACAACGTTCTTCACAAAGGAATCTCTGTCCGCGTTTTTGTTTAAAAAGGCACAGCAGGAGGCTTCGTTCGGACAGAAATTCTCGAGCTCGGCCGAGCCACCGCCAGCGAGGGGAGAAACACAATAGCGGAGGATGGGGGGGCTCGCGTCGATAACCGCGGCAACACTTCCGCCTCCATGGAAGTCTTCGTATCGTTTAACTTGAAGCCCTTGGCGTGTCAGGTTTTACACCTAACACGCCAGGTACAGTGTGTGCACAGTACTTGCAAAGAACCACTTAGTCAATCCGCGGGTGGACAAGGGCGTCCCCACGCCTATGCGGATCGCGAAGGTGACATGATCATTCTTCGCCGCTCGGTGCGGATTGGGAAAGGCCGGGGGGGGGGGGACTGCTGAGCAAGAGAGGTTTCGTTGTACTGCTTGCTGTTACGCACAGCGCCTACTTGCGCGCGCCCGTCGTAGCGTGCACCCATCCAGTCACTGTCCAGGCTAAAATCCCGCTTAGCTTCCCAAAGCCCGACACCGTCGGGGGAAGAGCGTTTCTGGTGATTTGGTCAGAGGAAAGCTGACGGGGCCACCTGACGGCCAAACATCTCCTCAAGCCACGTGACCTTGGGTGACCCCTGCTGCTGCACTGCCAGCGGTGCCCGAAAGACAAATAACGAAAAACGAAACCTCAACACAACCGTGATTAACACCGTGGCATAAAAATGCTAAAATTTCAAAATAGTCGACGACGTTTTCAGACAATGTAGCGTCGCATAACAGCGCGTCAAATCAATCACAAGAATAATAATAATAACATAGCATCATTTCAACCGGGCTGATACCCGCACACTCCTCCAACCAGCGTACAGAAAAAAAAGAATCCACACATTTTTTTTTTCAACAGTTGCTATTTCCGAGAGAGGAAAAATTGATTAAATATATATAAGATACATATATCTGTCACCGGGCCGTCGAAATGCAATAACCCGCTCTGGGAAAAACTCTAGGGGGGTTTTAGTCGTGACGAGATTTATTTTTTTTACTCCAAATTCACGCGGCGACCGTCCCTCTCTCCGTGACACGGCCAAGCCCACGTGGCCCAACTAAATAATGAAATAAAGAGGCACACAGCTGTCAAGGTGAACCTGCAGGGACTGGGTGTTGCCCCCCCCCCCTCCTTGAGAACGTGGGTCGCTATCGAGTATAAAGAATGTTCCAACGAGCGGGGCTTTGTGCAACCAAATATTATCCCCAATGTTTAAGACCAATGCAGGAGGATTTCTCCACAATTTCTCGCCGTCGCCTGATGATGATGGTTGTTGTTGTAATTGGCGGCGAAACGTCACAATAACTCGAATTGTAAATGTTGCAGTGGGTTTACTCTCCCAACACACCGGTTGTGCTTAAGTGTTAACGAATTGGAATGTTCTGTTACGTGACAAACCTTACTAATTAGCCGTGTCGGGTGGTGGCGGGTTTCACGCATTTGTATTTACGCGATTTAACCCAAAAAACTTTATTATGGAGAACTGAAGGAATGTTACATACATCTCTATTGTTGAATTGCCTTCAAGTGGCACTCACTTTATCAACCCGAGAAGAGTCGATGGCGATGATGGCCTGAATTGACACTGGAACGAAATGTGTAACGACACATCAATCAGCCGACTAAAATATTATTGTTTATGCTCAGAATGCCCGCATCAGAATGAATCGTGTGTGTGTGTAGAAAAATATGATTTACCAAGCACGCAAATGATACAGGAACGACGCGCCGAGGCTAATGGGAGCGAACCGAACGTCACAAACGAGAGCATTTTCGCACATGACGGCAGAAATTACACACGCGCCGAAAAATAGTAATGACTTTTGAAGATCAAATCGAGACCGTGAATAGTGACAAATCACCAGGGCACCGTGGCAGGATGGGGGAGCTCATTGTCTGGTGCCACTCGTCTGCACAGCACAGGGGACGTACGTGCTCTCGACTCTCGGCTTAACCCAAAAAATCCAGAGAAGCATTTTTCGATTTGAAGCTTTCTTGACTACATGGATTCATCTTCTTGGTTCTTTCGGTAAAGTCACGTAGAATGGAAATAATAAAATAATAAAAATAAAACATAATAAAATAATTCTCACGACGTTTCGGCAACAACGCAAGCAGCCGTCCTCAGGTGGAGAATTATGTTTTATTTTTATTACTGTATTATTTCCATTCTACGTGATTTTACCGAAAGAACCAAGAAGATGAATCCAGAGAAGCAGCCCGAGACGCGAAATTTAAGGCGACCCGGTATATATAAACACCCCAAAAAATTGATCCAAAACGGGAAAGGACGCCACTGTTCTGACAGCATTTCGTGTTTTTCCTGCAACAAATGGTGTCAAGTGACATCGGGTGAAGTCACTTTTGCGAGCGTGCAGACGCATCGTAAGTAACGTATAGAGAAAGGTAAACGATCGTAGTCAGAGAAAGATCCAGAATTGTTCGTGAATATCCAAAAATGTGAAACGTGTACGTGCATACAAAAAAACTCATCCCCGAGTAAAGGGGTAATTTCGATAATAAGCTCGCAAGATTAACTTACAGCCGATGTGAATGCCACCGGAATGGTGATCCCACCACCGCCAACACTGCCAACACTGCGCATGGCATTGCAAGTGCCCTCTGCTAAGCGAGAGAGTGAGCTATTTCACTTTTTGGACCCTGTTGACTCATAGGAACACAGCCACGCTGGGTCGCCGTGGGACATTCCGATAAGCGTCCAGTTGTTTACAGGTCATCTTTGTTGGGCTCTTGGAGTCCGTGGAGTTTCCACTCAACCCTGAAAATGATCACGTGTTGCAGCAGCGTGTCGTTATTGTTCGTGCTGTTATTACGATTGTCCACCCAAGGAGAGACCTCACCTCGCGTCTCAAGACTCTTTTTCCAGGCGAGTACTGCCTCGTTTTCGCAGGACAACGACGATGCTGCCTGGTGTGTCGCCAATTGAGTAATTTGCGGGGCGTAGATTTTTTTGATTGCGTTGGGATGTTGCGGCCAATACCAGTCACATTGTGTGTCACCACATATTTTTTTTTTGCAAAGGAAGGAGTCTGGAGAACCCAGAGGAAACCCATGCAGAACAGGGGAGAGAGAACATACAAACTGCAGACAGAAAGGCCCCTGGGAGTGGGGAATTAAACCAAGCGTTGCAAAACGAATTCTACCAACTTGCAGCTTCCATTAAAGGGAGCTCTTAGAGGATATTTCGCCTACTCTTCCACACTGGTAGGATGTGTTGGAAGAAGTGAGAGGTACCCAAACTTGACCCCCACAAAACACAACAAGTCCATCAACTACGACCTGTGGTCCACCCATTTAAAACTCCTGAGACGGGTCTGTGTGGTTGATAAATGTGCCCCGCTCTTTTAACTGCCGCACGCCAGGAGATGGAATCGAACTGGCCGCATCTGTATTGCACATCCAGCGTGCTAACCATTAACGCAACGGCAGTGATCAGCACAATGCGATGAACGCAGAGGTACAACTAGAGGTTGTTTGACGCTCTTTAGCAGCGTGTTTACGGTGATAAGGGCCCTGTGTGGTTTTATAGCGACTCAAGGTACAGAGAGACACACAAACACACAGTGTGTGTGTTGGATGGCGCTGGCAAAAACAGGGCTTAGAGTCGTATTTCGTGCAGCATTATGGAATTAATGTTTCATTACAATTCAGCGATGCATGCGCACGTCTGGTTTTCAATCGGGCTTGAAAATATAGGACCCAAAGATGACTAAAGAACCCACATGCTAACATAGATTCAATCGAATCATACAGGACCCATATGCACGAACGCAGGACCCATAGACTACCATAGAACCCCAAAACAACATAGGACCGATAGACTAACATAGGATTCACAGGTAAACACACGGTCAATAAACAGCTTTGCCCACGACCAAGAGTAACAGGTGACCCACAATTACATAACACCCAAACACTGACAATGGACTCTGGGACCAACACTGTGCCCAATTGCCTACACAGAGATCTCGGACTGCGGCAAATCAAGTGTGGTGTGATGCAGAGGTCGCAAACGGGTTTGATTCCTTAACCGTACCCGGCCGCACCAGGGTCGCAAATGGGTACCCGTACCCGGCCGGGTACGGGTACCCGTTCCCTACCCGTACCCTACTCGAAATGAGTGACAAACGGTGACTCACCAGTGACGCACGGCCTACCCGTTTGCGACCCTGGTGCGGCCGGGTACGGGTAGCCGGGTATCCGGTACCCGGTTGCGACCTCTGGTGTGATGTCTGAATGCGGTGCAGCGGCCGCACAACGCCATGGAGGATAAGCAGCTGAGATTTACAGTCACGATTGCCTATTGTCTCCAAGCGAAACAAGCTTATGGGGGGTGCACGAGCGCATTGCACGCCGTGGCTATATTGGCGCAACGCACACGGATCGCCTCCAGCGCTACAGATCACGGTGGCAAGTGCCGATTTGGCGAACGCCGATTGAGGCTGGCACAGCACGGGCAGAAATGCAACGTTGTGGGTTTCCTCCCTGACCCACCACTCAATCTCGCACAGCGGCTGTGTGGGTGCAAGCGCTGCTGAACGTACAGCAGCAGCAGCAACACACGTGGTGGCTATGATAGGTGGTGGCTATGATAGGTGGTGGCTATGATAGGTGGCGGTAAGCACTGCATCACCCCCCCCCCCTCTCTCTCTCTACCCCCATGCTCTCTCACAAAGACACTGATCCAGCCTCATGCCGTGTTGACTACAAAGACTGTTTGGGGCCAAGGAGTGATGTTAGCGAGCACCTATGGAGGCCGGAAGGGGGTTGGGGTTGGCCAATACCACGCCCGACCACCTTTGTCTCCCCAGTGGCGATGTTTTTACACACAGCACCAGGTACTCATCTTAAGGCTGGGTCAACCTAGGGGGTGGTCGGGACCGGTTCAGATAATCGTCACTGGTGGTGGCCGTGAGCCGGAATCGAACTCGGTTCGTAAGCGCAGTGCGCTAACCACTACGCCACCGCTCCCCACACACACACACAGGCCAACACCAATACACATGCCGTTCGCCACTAAGTGACTGTGACGTCACCACGGCGCCTGTGCCAGGCTAGGTGCACTTTGAGGCCACGTGAAGTGTCGAAGGCTCGGGACAGACCCAGCAGGTGCCATGGTTTGGCTGACTGAGATGACCGGTAGATGCACCACCACCAGCTGTACCCCCACTACTGTGACAACTTGCCACAAATTTATCCACCCGGCGTTCCCGCTCGTTGTTGTGAGCGTCGCTCCCTCCGCCCTCCGTTGTTGCTGGAGGGCGACTGCCTCCAACTGAGAAGCAGCAACAGCAGCAGCAGCGGTCCTTCACGAGCCTCCTCCATCGGCCAACACACACGCGTACCACGCAATGCTATTCCTGGCTAAACGACACAGACATCCCTTCCACAACGCGAAAACAGAGGCACACATTCACTGAAAACCACGTCGCAAGCTCTTGGACGATGACACACACAAACACATACACAGGCGTTGCCCACACATACTGACTCAGGGCTGACCCCCGTGCCAACAAAATCAGTGGTAGAACGAACAAACAAGAAGACCCCACCACCACCACCGGTGGTGGTGATCCATGTCAAATCGTGCGCTCGTGGCATTGCATGGAAGCGGCGTTGCGAACGGGCCCAACACATCTGAAAGGGTCGTGGGGGTCGTCCACCCTTAGGGTTGACTCGGCCTCAAATGTGTACCCGGTGCGGTGTGTCGTAAAACATCGCCACTGGGGAGACAAAGGCGGCCGGGGGATCTTTGTCTTTTTGACATCGTTGGCAAGAGCTCACAGATGACCACGTGCTGAACACGTCCACAGCCAATCCACTGCTGGATGAGTGTTTCTAGATTGAACGAGGACATCTCCTCCCGCCCCCGGATTGATCCTTTTTGAGGTCTCTAGACAAAAGCTGGGAGCGTAGACGGGGGAGCATAGAAGTGTAGTACAATACAGCAATGAGGTGTGTGTGTGTGTGTACTGCACTGCCTCTGATGTCGAACCCGATCGATTATCGGTTGATTTGGCAAGACGTTAGGGGATGATGATGATGATGTTAGCGGCAGAGCGATATTGTTTGCGGATAGAGCTGTAATAAAGAACAAAGGTTTGTGTGGTTTAAGGCGAAGGATAGCCTTCAAATGTGGAGATTGTGTTTAAGTTAAGGAGGGGTTAAGATGAATTTGGGGTTTAAGGATGACAGCTAAGAGGCTAGGTTGATGGTTTAGCGCTGGTCCTGATGATGTCGGGGTCGGTTTTAGACAAAGAGACTGGGTTGGGGGTTAGGGTGGCAGTAGGTTTAGCAGATGTGGGTTTGAGTTCGACAAAGACTTTGTTGTTGGGTTCAAGATTTAGGGTTTCAGTTATCACTCGGGAATAAGAGAGCATGCCAAGCTTTAAGTTATGACCTACGGTGTGTGGGTCCACAATGCATGTCTAGATTTGACGGGTGTGCTTCTATGCAAAGATCGGAGTATTTATGAATGAATGAATCAAGCTGTAGGTTAGACTTAACTTAGCCTTCGTAGCTGTACACACTTAGACGCACACATCTCTCACCTCTTTGCGATGCAGCAGCAACTGCAGTCCGATGTCTCTTGCAGTCAGCCGAGAAAAACACCAACACCACCAGATCACCGGCGGCGGATACCAATTTTTGTGTTTTTTTGCAAAACAAAAATAAAACCCACGCTGAATTCCACTATTTCATTAATGTAACAACGCACCCTTCACGTCACAAGACGCAAGGAGACGGCCCTACCCTACCCCCCCCGTCCCAAACACAAGATCATAACGACCTCATGGCATTACCACGAGCCGGTGTTACATGTATGTATGCATCTATACACACACACGTGTATTGTTCAGGCTCTCGCTCACATATTTACACCGTACAGGCCTTGCCCGAGACGACCGATGTGGAACGTGGTGGACGATCGCACACCTCTCTCTCTCTTCTAAAAGGCTTCTTCTAAAGTGTGAGCGGCTCCACAATTTCAACAAAACCAACAGCGTCCACACTGAGACCACCACCCCCACTGCACAACCACGTGGGGGGGCGGGACCGGGGGGCGTGAACGTTGAGATGACGTCACGCCGGAGGGGGAGGAGCGATCATTTATGCAAATTAGTTTGGGGAAAGGGGGCGGGGCTTGTGCCTTAAAAGGAGCTGCCCGGATGTGACGTCACGGCTATAAATATAAAGGCCGCCGCGCTGGGGGGTGTGATGTCACGCGGCCGTTAGCTGTGACGTCATCTGACGCGCGTGACGCAGGGGGGGAGCAAAACAGCGGCCATGTTGCCTAGGGACTAATCTGAATATTTAAAGTGGAGGAATCCGATGAGCTGTAAAGCTCTTATTCTTATTCTTCTTACTGATGTTCCAGTAGGGGCACGGGGTCAGAACGTTACAACAAGCAATACAAACAAAACACGACAGGAGTGCAAATTGTAGGAATTGTAAACAAATCGCTTTAAATATCTTATCTCCATATATTAAAAAAGGGAAATCTGTGATTATGTATCTGTTCAAAATGTTTAGCGTACTTCCCGACATGCAACAAACTTGAAATTTGCCATGTGGGTACTTTCCAGACTGTACACCATGCAAAAATTATAAAAATACACTTTTGAATTTTTTTGGGGGGGAAGGGGCTCAATAATGCATTTATTTTGCACAGCAAGTGAGCTGTGACGTCACATCTGTCACGTGACCCGCGCACGTGGAAGAGTAACGCATTGTAGTGTAGCAGGTAGCGCGCTGCGCTACGAACCCGGCGACCCGAGTTCGATTCCCGCTCACAGCCAACACCGGTGACGATTATTTGAACCGGTCCGGGGCCTCCCCTAGGTCGACTCAGCCTCAAACGAGTAACTGGTGTGGTGTGTGAACATCGCCACTGGGGAGACAAAGGCGGCCGGGCGTGGTGAATCCAAGTCCCGGGCGAAGCCGGGTAGTAAAGCTAGTATTGTATACAAATAAAACTAAACAGTTTTTTTTTATCTTACCAGGTAAAGGCCACTGAGCTATTAACTTATTTTTAAGAAGTTGGATAATATTATAGCCATTGCCGGAAACGTCGCCCATTATAAAATATATTTTTTAAATTTTAAGGCCACAGTTATTTAATATTGTTTGGGGAATGTTGGTAATCTTGTTATTTGTGCACCAGTACTGTGTTACGCCCGAAACGTCGTGATTTATTTTATTTCCTACCGACGTGACTTTACCGAAAGAACCAAAGAGTATGGATTCCCGCAGTCACGAAAGCTTCAAATCAACAAAGTACTGTATCACTAATTAATGGGTTTACTTACATGGAGCGAGACAAAAATCCAATTAAATTATCTATACTGGTGGAAATTCCACATTCCCATGACGTTACCAGTTTATCCACAACATGGCCACTGTTAAAACCACCGAAATATAATGCAGCAGGCAAGAATAAAACATTACGTGATATTTAAGTGGCAATTTTAATTTTAGTTCTGTTCAGCCCTTACAGAAGTCCCCACGTGTGACGTTTCAACAACATCATTAAAACACCCTGTATTTTGATAACTGAACGTTACCTTAGTTTAAACACGAATTTAAAACATACAAAAATAATTTGGTATCCTTGAACATTTCATTTACCAACTCAGAAACACTCATTCATGGAATTGGCCAAATATTTCATTGCAGGGCCCTCTTAGATAAAAAAAACATAAGCCTCGAAATTCGTCGCTTTTCCGGGCAAAATTGAGAGCATTCCAATTATTTTGGCTATTACAGAAATGTACCGGAAGACACAATGAAGATAAAACATGTCAAGGCCAGCCTTTGCCTAGCTCACAATCCATCAGCCATGATTCATCCACTGCTGAATTAAAGCCTCATCAAAGTCACCATCTCACGGCCCTGCGATGAAACAGAGTTAAACTTGATCAAATCCGAATGGTGCCTCCTTCCCAATAGTTATGTCAAAAAATGTTGGTACAAATATTCGTATAATTAAGCAATATACTTGGCGGCCTTTAATATACAGAGAACGAGAGCTATAGCGTAATATATGAGAGGCAAAATAATATTTTATGGTTACTCTATTCTGTGTCCCATTTTTCAGTTTTTAAAGTGTATTTAACATTGTGTTGTGCCAAATCCGAGTCACGCTCCAGATTCGCTCCTTCCACGCTGGCAACTATGTCCCCACTCAGTCACATCAATAGCCAAAAAATTCCTGTTTTGCCCAGCCAAGTAAAGCGACATGCGATAGAGGCACAATAAAATATTGATATGCTGTTATTACTACGTTTGGTTACCCAACAAGACCTCACCAGACTGTCATGCCACTTTTTCAGGATGGTATCGCTACGTTGGTTTTTTTGTTGGTTGTTGTGGCAGAAGAGCCGATCCTACTGCTTGTATAATCATCCCAATCGAGTAATATTCAGGTACTCTTTGTTTTTTTTGGTAAAGTCACGTAGGTAAAAAATAAAATAAAAATAAATTAAATCACGACGTTTGCACCGTCACAGCAAAATTACTGTATCAGTGACGGTGCCACCTGAAGACGGAAGCTTGTGTTGCCTCCGAAACGTCGTGATTTTTATTTTTATTTATTTTTTCACCTACGTGACTTTACCGAAAAAAAACAAAGAGTATGGACCCTTGCAGTCACGAAAACTTCAAATCTAGAATTAATATTCAGGTACATTCGGGTGCTTGGCCAATACCAGTTAATACAGTGAATTGGTTTTTTTCAGCTATGGGAAGAAACTAGAGAAAATTCCTGCAGAACAGTGGTAGAACATACAAACTCTGCAGAGAGTGGGGCCCGAGTTGGGAATAGAACCCAGGTCCATCTAGCCACGAGGTATAAATGGTACCACTGCAGCTCATTTGAGAACCGAGGTTAACTGTTGGTGAAAAGGGCACGGTTACATAATTTGTGTGGCTTTATTCCATCAAATCACATCACACGGCTTCTATTTCTGGAATGTGGCCAACCGTTTGATTAAAACAAACATAGGCATCACACAAACCATTTACTTTTTGGAGGAAAAAAAACGTTCATTATGAAATCAATACGTTCTCTAATCGCGCCCCTAAGACGAGTATTGGCCTGTGGTAATCTCTTTTTACAGGCGTTAAGCAGTTTCAAAACAGTGCCTATTACCCTGCTGTGATATATGGATCGGAAGCATTGAAACCGACAAAGGCAATGAAATTCAAGCTTTAGAGGTGAAACGGAAAGGTGAACACATAGATCGGGGAGAGAATGAACGTGTAGAGAAGTCAAGAATTCTTATCAACATGTGAGAGTTCATCAGCATTGGTTGAAGCTAGCCTGACTTGATGATTCGATAAATGTCAAAACTATTCCAGAGGTTGCTCGGATTGAACCAAAGCTGCTGATACGACGGGTTGTCTAAAACGTATTTGAATATTCAAAGCAGTGAGACATACTGTATACGCGAAGGAGGTTTTATATATAAGGAAAGCAGGTGGGCTTGGATCAGAGGTCGCAACCGGGTACCCGATACCCGTACCCTACCCGATACCCGGCTACCCGTACCCGGGTACGGGTACCCGTTTGCGACCCTGGTGCGGCCGGGTAGACCATGAGTCACTGGTGAGTAACTGTTTGTCACTCATTTCCCAACGTCTTGTCTCTTCTCACAATTCAAGTTCCTAGAATCAACCCACCCGCGCCAGCAACATGGCTTCATCCCAGAGGTCGCAATCAGGTACCCAATACCCGTACCCTACCCGTACCTGGCCGGGTACGGGTAAGGTACGGGAACGGCCGGGTACGGGTAGCCGTTTGCGACCCTGGTGCGGCCGGGTACGGGTACGGGTAAGGAATCAAAACCCGTTTTCGACCTCTGGCTTGGATGTATCATGGATGATGATAATGATGATGAAACAAGTGTGGAAATTCCACATTGAAATGAAAAAGGCCACCGGATAATAACTGTTGACAAGCAAGTAGAACAGCATTAAACAGTTTGTTCATTTTACTTACCCCAGAGGGCTGATGATAAAGATGATGACTTCTTCTGCTGATGATGACGCTGTTGCTGATGACGATAACCACGATGACGAGAGGGATTTGAATTCACAAGCTCGTGATCAGCTGCCAAAACTGCTCAACCAACCGAGTCGCATCTGGCAACACAGCATGTGATTTGAAAATTCTGTTATCACTTCACAGAGGATTTTTCCCCCATTGGTTTAAAAATTAACAAAGGGACAGAAAGGTTTACTTGCTGTTCTTTCAAGACAACCCTGAGCTCCCACGAAGCCACACAAACAGTAATGGATTAACCACAGAGCCAAACGGATATTAAACATGCCAACCATTCCACAACCACGAAAATGACGTTCACATTCTTCTGAGTTGCATATTAAAAACTGCGTTTTTTTTAATAACATAGAAAAAACATAATCTAATGTATTTATCTCCAATGTGGTATGTGCAGCGGAGGCGTGGTGGTTAGTGAATTGCGCACTGAACCCGGTGATCCGAGGTCAATTCTTGTAAAAAAAAAAAGTAAATCAATAGATTTCATAAATATAACGTCACCGGCGATTGATATCTAAACCAGGTCTGGCCCAGCAGCCACTTGGTTCATCCACCAATAGACGCTGACCAGAGTGGTGTTTGCTGCATTAACACATTGCCCTGCCAAATGGGTGTCGAAAAAAATTAACCCGTAAAAACAAAGTTTTTCACTCTAAATCCTTTATATGCGTGGCGGCTAGAGTCCTCTCGTCCTCTGGCTTGAGATGGCTGCCACCTATGGGTCAGATGATTGTCTGCCAGTATTAAGCAATTGGTAATTAAATATTTAATTTGTTTTCCCTAAACAGTGTAAAATTTTGGGAAAAAAATTTTCACGAACATTAATTGTCTCGCACAACGAGTCTGTGTGCAAAATGTCAGCTCGATTGGATCACGAGAAGTGGGTTAAAAAACGACCGAAAGATTTGCACGGTCGTAAGCAAGCAAGCACGCAAGCAAGCAAGCGAACTTAATATAAAGGATTTAAAAAGACAAAGATCCC